GAGAGAGAGAGAGAGAGAGAGAGAGAGAGAGAGAGATGGAGAGAGAGAGAGAGAGAGAGGGAGAGAGAGAAGGAGAGAGAGAGAGGAAGTGAGAGAGGGAGAGGGGGAGGGTAGAACATTCCCTATCGTCTGCATGTTATTCAACTTACTGCATGCTACTCGTAATGTTCAGAAACCTAATATTGAAATACAAGAGTACAGAAAACACACGTTATCTACTCCCTCCCCCCCTCCCAGAAACACACCCACCCACAGTATTCCATAGCCAGGTCCCGATAACACGAGATGGGCGATCAACATCAGTCAATATATGAATCCAAATATGTCGTATACAACCTTCTACAACAAACATCACGTCAACGCCCTTGATAAAAGATTAAGTTAACTCGATGCACTAGCGCGCCCGGGTCGCTCTTTTTTCTTTTCGTTCGTCGTCTGCTTCTCAGTACATTGTACTCATACACCGATCTTCTTTTTTTTCGCAGCCTGCCCGCCCGGTTACAAGTCAGACGGTGGCTGTATAGAACGTGAGTTCACTGACATTTCTTATCTTCCGTACTTGGTGTAATATATTTACATAATATATTACATATGGTGTATAAATATGGAGAGACATCTTTAGTGTTATTAGTGAACATGTATATAATAATAATATATATATATATATAGTATGCGAAAGTGTGCAGTGATGCTGCTAGGTGGCAGCACTGACTGCGGAGAGGGTGTGACGTCAGACGTGTCAGACGATAGTGAAGAATTGGAGACACAAGACAAACATTGTTTACGCGAAGCAGCAGACGAATTCACTCGTGTGATCGATGTAGCAATCGATTTTTTATCAAACCCGTTAAACGACAAGATTTGATATCATATCTGCAAGTATGACCGTCTGCTCTGCTACCGCTGCGGAGTTCAACGCACGCTCTCGTTTGTTAGTCTGTTTTTTCATCTCTCTTTTTGTGTGGTGACTGCTCGAGTGCATTTGCACTCGCTGCACGTTAGAATATTTCCGTTAGTTCGCGAGTGGTTTTTTCGTCTTAGAGATCAAGCGCATCTTAGACGTCGTGCTCAAAAATCTCGTTTTTTTTTTGCCCCGCATTGATGCGAAACGCTGATTTGTTTGTTTTTTGGTTTGTTCTTTTTCTTCGCCCATGTTATCACTGTTTATGACTGCTATATATATATATATATATATATATATATATTATT